GGAGGACCCAAGTGGGTGGCTACAACCGGGGCCCCGGCTGCCAATTGCAACATGTCTGAACATGCTGGGTTGTAACTCCTAACATGCCCTACATTGATTTAGTAAATCATACATCTACACTTTTCTTTCTACCTGTTTGCCGGGCACAAATAAAATCATGACAAGGTCGTTGTTAGCTGGAAAATCGTAGGATTTCTTCATGTTGGTGATGCTCCAATCGGGAAAATGGGGCCTCGCAGGTCTGGATCATAATCCCATAGGTGGAACTGTGATCGCTGGTGGCTACTGGCACTGTAGGATTATGTAACATGGGGAATATGTCAAGGAAATGAAGTCGCACATTTGGAAGGACACAACAAGCAGAAGGATCATAGCTGTTGTCATGGTCTGTAATAAGCTCGCGTTCCAATCAAACCAAACGACGAAGCAACGTAGATCAGTCGCCAATTTGGCTTTCGGAAAAATTGAATGCCAGAGAATGTGTCTGAAAATGGGGTACAGTAAACCATGATAAACCCCCAACTTGGCTAATTCTCGTGGGAAATAACGAAAATTGCTGTCAATTTTTTGGGGGGTGTTCCCATCATTTTCAATTTCAATCGGTGGGGCCCAGTAGTTTATCATTATCAGAATCAAATCATGTTAAACCTATGAATCTACCAGTTTACAATGAATCCACCATAGTTTAACAGTCACTGTATAAAACTATGGTGATTGGGTATTAACTATATAGTTTATATATAACTATGGTGATTGGGTATGAACTATAATTAACTATATATATATAAACCCATGGGTGTATCATATATATATATATATAACTAACACTTAACCCATGTCAACCCTCTTCCTTGCGTCATTTCGCTCTGCTTCCTTGGTGGCCATGGCACCGAAAAAACGCGCCGTGGCGCTGATCTTGGAGGGTTCCCGGGGCGATCAGCAGCTTGGCGACCAAAGCACCAGCGATGGTTTCACAAAGTTTCTGAAAGAAACATGTTTGATGATTTAATGGGGTTTAATGGGGTTTAATTGGGGTTTACAGTCAGTGCCAGAATTATAGAACGGAGCGAAGAGGACAAAAGTACGGTAAAATACCGTACCTTTGTCCTCTTCCGGGTTCGAACCTGGAGCGGAGTCGGAAAATTTAATTATAGAACGGGGAAGAGGACAAAGGTACGGTAAAATACCGTACCTTTGTCCTCCTGGCTCCGTTCTATAATTCCTGGCACTGACATAAAATGAGGATAAAATGAGGAAATGATGAGGAAATGATAATAAAACGCGGATAAAATGAGGATTTAATGGGGATTTGATGAGGAAATGAGGATAAAATGCATATTTAATGAGGATTTAATGAGGATAGAACGACGAAAAAGGTTAGGAGTAAATTCAGATACCATTTTTTTTCATACCTTCCGAGGAAAACAGAATTATAGAACAACAGGGTACGGTAAATAACCGTACCTTCGTACTCCTCAACTTCCGTTCTATAATTCTGTTTTCCCCCATTTTTCCCACATTTACCAGGTGATTTTCTCAGATTTCATGGTGATTTTATAGGAATTCATAGTGGTTTTATGGGATTTCATGGTGGTTTTATGGGATTTCACGGTGATTTTCTTATTTCATGGTGATTTTGTAGGATTTCTGGGACCCCGGAAGAGGTTCTATAATTCTATAATTAATTTTTTCGTTCTATAATTAATTTTTCCGTTCGACGGAAAAATTAATTATAGAACGGGGCCCGGGAAACATTAATTATAGAACGAAAATGGGAAATGTGAGAAAAATTGGGGACAACAGAATTATAGAACAACAGCGCTCCGACAAGAATTATAGAACGACGAAAAAGGTTAGGAGTAAATTCAGATACATTTTTTCTCATACCTTCCGAGGAAAACAGAATTATAGAACAACAGGGTACGGTAAATAACCGTACCTTCGTACTCCTCAACTTCCGTTCTATAATTCCGTTTTCCCCCATTTTTCCCACATTTACCAGGTGATTTTCTCAGATTTCATGGTGATTTTATAGGAATTCATAGTGGTTTTATGGGATTTCATGGTGATTTTATGGGATTTCACGGTGATTTTCTTAGATTTCATGGTGATTTTGTAGGATTTCTGGGACCCCGGAAGAGGTTCTATAATTCCATAATTAATTTGTCCGTTCTATAATTAATTTTTCCGTTCGACGGAAAAATTAATTATAGAACGGGGCCCGGGAAACATTAATTATAGAACGAAAATGGGAAATGTGAGAAAAATGGGGGAAAACAGAATTATAGAACAGCAGCGCTCCGACAAGAATTATAGAACGACGCAAAAAATTAAGAGGAAGATCAGATACATTTTTTTTTCACACCTTCCGAGGAAAACAGAATTATGGAACAACAGGGTACGGTAAATAACCGTACCTTCGTCCTCTTCAACTTCCGTTCTATAATTCCGGCACTGACCATAATGGGGTTTAATTGGGGTTTAATGGGGTTTAATTGGGGTTAAATGGGGTTTAATTGGGGTTTAATGGGGCTTAATTGGGGTTTAATGGGATTTAATGGGGTTTAATGGTGGTTTAATGGGGTTTAATGGGGGTTAATGGGGGTTTAATGGGGTTTAATGGGATTTAATGGGATTTAATGGGGGTTAATGGGGTTTAATGGGGGTTAATGAGATCTTATATCCAGATCTGTTGTACTTTATTTTGTTTCTAAGATCATCTTCAGGCAGCCGTACATTGTGGCAGCCCTGGCATTGAAAGAGGCGGGCTATGATGTGCTGATTCTGGGCACCAGCGATGGAGAAGGCATGGCCAAGATGCTCGGTGGAAAGTGCACCAATGGAGGATGATAAAGAGGACTAGATGAAGGATCATTCATCTAGAATCTAGATGTATATTGTGTGATATGATGTAATATGTACTATATATATATTTATTTATATACGTATATACGAGATTTGTGAATGCATGCCCACAAATAAAGTATAAAGTATGTGTTATGTGATTTACAACTGTCTCGCAAATGGAACTCACATGCTTCTGTTTTCCAGCTTACCAATGCTTACATTTCAGTTGCATAGAACCACACTCGCTGAACAGACCTATTTGTTTTGTTGGACATCCCTTGGACATCCCCTTTCATCTATCCCTTTGTGGCTTTTCGGGGAGTCCCTCAACCAATCAGCCAGCAGTGTCTGGCCATGCTGTGGAGCTTTAGTGAATCTGTTTTCCCCCTGGAACCTCCGTATAGAAATCAAGGCGTGATGAACTCAAACGGATCCGAGATCCAATGGTGAAGCTGTTTTGATTGCTTCTTTTTTATGGTAATTCATGGTTTCATTCCCAACTGGAAAGTGGTTTCGAATTCGATGAGCTCTGTTTTTTCTCCTTGATTGCACAGTAGTCCCAACTGATGGTTATGGCCATGGCATGGCTTGAAATCACCAAGGCAGAAGGGTCTGCCCTTCAGAAGCGTCGGCCTTTGCGCGAAAGAAGTGATTCAGCGCCCTGAAATGGTGGAGGTTGACCATGTTAGTAGCCTGAGCTCGGAGAACTGATGGGTACTTAATTATCTAATCCACTTTGAAACATATGCAATGAGAATTACTGAGTTCATGATGGTTAACATTGGTATCGATGGACAGTGGGTGTGCGATCAATATGTTCCTGCTCCTGAAATGATGAAATGGCGCACGACTTGAAAGCGATCAAAGATAAGGCTAAAAGCCGTTATAACCTATTTTATTCACCATGTTCTGCATTCGAAAATATGTGGAGTTCATTGAAGTTCAAATATATATATATATTTGGTATGTGTATATAATTGTATATATGTAATGTAATGTGTGTATTGTATTGTATTGCAGTGTATTGCATTGTATCTAATGTATGTAGTGTAGTGTAATGCAATGCAGTGTAATGCAATGCAGTGCAATGCAATGTAATGTATTGTATGTACTCTCAAAAGTCATTTTACATCTATATTTTTCAGGGAAGATCCCAGCAAAATATGGCCAACCATATGGTACTAACGTACCTCCATTGTACAGGATGGGGCCCCCCCAGTTATGTTTGTTGGTATATAAATCATTATAATCCCCATTAACTATAGTTATATCTACCATAAACCATAGTTAAACCATAGTTATATCTACCATAAACCATAGAATTTAACCACTTGTGATAGCCAACTGAACGCTATCGACCGGGGGCCCCATCTTGTAGGATCCTTTTTGATTTCACCGGAATCACTAGGCCAAGATCCTCGAAGTCTTGCAGGCTGTGACGGAGAACGACTACGCCAAGATTTCAGCTGCGGTGAATGCGACGAAGGCTCTGCGAGGTCGAGAAATCTTGGATGCTGAGCTGTTGCAGGGGGGTTGGAGGATTGACAATTGGTTATAATTGGATCTATCTATCAATTGATCTATTAAATCTATTATTTATGATATTATGTATATATATACATACATATGTATATTTCTTTATGTAAATTAACATTTTGCTATGGATGATAGGTCGCCATGGTCCCCTTCCAACGTTTGCGCTCAGGAGATCGTGACCAAAGAACTCAGGACATTTCAGCCTGGTTTGATCATCTCTTCTGGCATGAGCTTGAACCTATGTATTGTCTTGGGCAAAGGCCTGGAAGAAACTTGGGGTTAAAATACTATAGGAAGATTATAGCACCCAAGTACTATAGAAAAAAATACTATAGTATAATCCAAGTATTTTACTATAGTATAGTGGGATTATAATACTGGTAAAATACTATAGAAAATACTTGGGTTACTATAGTAAGATTTTGCAAAAAAATACTATAAAAATGCTAGAGTATGGGCTTGGGGGCTTTGAAAAATAAAACAAAAATCTGGGGTTAAAATGATTTCGACCAGTAGAACTTGGTGTTTTGACCAGATTTTTGTGGATGTCACCCGTGGAAATGTGGGATTTGACTGGTGGATTCGAGCTTCTTACTGGTTTTGCCTCCAAGAATGGCTTTGAATCAGCCTGACTTCTTGTCAAGGCCTGCGCATTCCGGTGATCTTGATGGCTCTGCAAGTCGTGGTACCCAGCAATTACATACCAGCACTGGGAGTTTTGCCCAGATTGCCCAGTTTTCTGAACCTGAATTGGCTGGCCTGGAAGTACGTCCTGGACTTGCTGAGGAAGGAAGGCATGAAGACATCCCTGCCACAGCTAGCAGAACTTCTGCAGCTTCCTGAGGAGGACGGCGTTATCGGCGTTATCCCATCGGAATTTTGGGATTAAGGAAGCCCCCAGTTCACTAGATCGGGGGTTCCATGTTAGATGGATATTATATATATAATATCACCAGTTGGGTGACTCTTCCCCCCGAATTCAAATGCGACAAGTGTGGCTTTAGTGGTCCTGTGGTGACATTCAATGGGGGAAATCATGGGAAATCGAAGAAAACCCATTTGTTAACTAGGGCTATATATTTCTAGCAGTTTGCTGTGGTTTTGAGATGTTTTCAGAGATGGGCTGAACCCCCAAAAAAGAGGAGTTGCAGATCTCCGTTGACGAAATTTGCGACCACTGCAGCTGCCGTCCACGCTTCCCGCTCCTCTTTGCTGTGAGTTCGGTGTTCTATGGTCGCTTTCCACCGGAGCCATGGGGGTGATGTGGACCACTGTGGGGTCTCCAATATGATCATCGGATCATCGATGTACTGATTTTGTTCATATAGATCTATATGGATGATACATATTTCCAATATAATCATGTTTATAGATATATTGGGATGTTCATTATATAGATCATATATATATATCCATATATATATATATATCCATATATATATATATTGTCAAAATGTTTCCAGGAGTCACGGCTGGGGAGGTTTAAAAAGTTGCTACCTGTGATTTGAACTAATTCGTTCACCCTGGCCCGTCCAGACCAGGTGCCAACGCCAGAAGCATTCGAACCCAGGGGGAAGAGTTTTTTACCAGTTCTGGGTTGAATTCTTCCCATTAAATCCCATTGAAGAAGTTAGAACCCATGGAATTCCAATGCCATTCTTCAACATTTCAACATACCAAGCCACATGTCAAACAGCTGAAAGTGTTCGAAGTGTTCGGGATGAGATTGTTCCATCGGTCCATTTGGTCCCTAAAGCAGGACTTCAACACGTCGCTGTGCCGACCATTGGGCGCTTTGAGTTTTAGACCAGATCAACAAGTCGCTGGACTTGAGGAAGCGTCAACCCTGGGGGACTGATGGGGACTCTCATCTTTTGCTACATGTACAATGGGATATAATATGATAATATATGATATAATGAAGATACATACCAACTAGCCTTAGGAAAATGAGGTGTATCTAAGGTTGGCCTTGAATAGAGCTCTTGAGATTTCAGTAACGAAGAGATCGTCTTGGGATGCTGAGAGTTGTGCCCCAAAACCATCCCAAAACCCATGCTTTATGATGACATTTAATGGGATAAACCTCCATTTGGGTGTATCTCTTATCTTGATACCAGACCCAAGAGGTTTTCCTTGACAAGATGGGGACTGGAGGATATATTGGTCATAGTTTGTGAATCCATTGAGTTCACAGATTCATAGTCATAATGTGCAGTCATCTCACACATATCAGTTGCATTCAGTTGCTCTTGACAGGTTGGCATCGACTTTGGAACAACTTTGGAACTCCAGAAGTTGAAGGACTTTTTGCAGAAGTGCAAGGCTTCGAATGAACGACCTATCTACATGGGTGTCATGGCGACAAAAAGAAACACTAAGAGACCAAGTAAACCAGGTGGTAGGTTCAATATGGTTCAATGTTTAAGTTTCATTCCTCCACACATGGCAAAACCCATGGCTTTGGGCCTAAGCCAAAACCAAAGCTTTCCCTACTCAAAATCACGGATAACTCGGATGAGAACTTGGTCCCCTTTTAGAGACTACGGAAACTTGAACCTGCAAGGTGGTGCCCAGGTATGAGTTGGTTTCTAACATCCACTGTTTCGACATAATTGCCTTCCATATCCTTCCCTAAAGCCTAGTTGTATCATGTTATATCTGGTTATTCTAGATTAAAATCAAGACGTGAACTATGGAGCACCACCTGTCTTTTAAGGTTTCGGGTCCATGATCTGCGAGAGCAGCAAATTCATGACGCTTCTGTGTTTGCGCGCCTTAATGACTTGCCGACGCCCAGGAGGGGATTGGAACCCATGATGGAATGGGAACTTACCCTCTGGTTATTTAACAGTTCGCCATGGTATAGATGGTCCATAGAAATAGATGGTCTACCTATTAAAAATGGTGATGTTCCATGGCTATGTTAAATAACCAGATTGGGTACAATTGGGTACACGTCCAACGATGGTCTATCAATCACAAGGAAGTGTGCAGGTTGGGGTTTTCATGTGTGTCACGAAATATCGGGGCGTGCAACGAGAGGCTCTTGATTCATATTGGCACCATGACTCACCATCCACCTTAATATGAGACACCTATAGACACCTGAGATCATCTGAGCTAGTCCAACCATTCCTAAATTTCCTAAATCAATCAATGAAACCTATCTTCCTATATAGAAACATATAGAAACTCATAGAATCACTGATGTCTCCCTTGGTGTCTCCTTTCCGTGTCGGTCCCCATCTGACACCATCCCATCCCTCCAGGCCCCGCCAGGTGTGATTCTCAGCGGCTGGGCAGAGCTTTCATGGGCGGATGTCGAAGGAGAAGCCGATTCTGCCGAGCTCCAAGCATTTTGCGACAAAGTTACTTGGTTTACTTGGCAGATTTGGTGTCCAGCCGATGTTCAACTGCGTATTTTGGTGGTTCAAATGTGGACCTTAAATGGAGCCACGAAGTTAGGGGTGTTCTTGTTCTTAGTACTGAAAACAGTTTGACCGTGTTTGAGCCATATCCAGATGATGTTATGTCAGAGACAGATCTTCCTGGTCATGTTGGGTGTTCATATCAATAATAAAGATCGCCCAGAGATCTTTGGGATAATATGGTATGACTATGGCCCTATGGCCTATGGCTTCGACCAAAGTATGGCAAAGTTGGATTGATGGTTGTCAATTTTTTGGAATCTTTAGGATCGTAGTCGTGGACCCACAGCCACAATCAAGGAACTAGCAGTACCAGTGCAAGTAAGGTACAACTAATTTACCAACCCACATCACCCCACATCCTGAATGCATCATACGTTATCAGGATCATCCTGAAATGCAATAAACTCAAATGATAGGCCAGACTGAAATTTTACTTGGGTCTGATTAGATTCTCATCATTGGGGGTTGTTCTTGGGCTTGTTACACATACTAATTGAAAGCTTTCCATTATCAGTGTTGCTATGCCAGTTTTGTGGCAATGAACCCATTATCAGTTGATATCAGTTGTATATGGAATCTAAGAGGTATATTATTTACACACCCACTTACCCTCTGGTAAACTAACATAACTATGGAAAATCACCATTTTGAATGGGGAAAACTCACTATTTCTATGGCCATTTTCAATAGCAAACTGTTAGTTTACCAGAGGGTAACATCAATTCAGATTTGACTTATCCCAATATCAGTTGATATCAGTTGTATATGGCATCTAAGAGGTATATTTACACACCCACTTCAATTCAGATTTAACTCATTTACCATCTGGTTATTTAACATAGATAGCCATGGAAAATCACCATGTTTAATAGGTAATGGACCATTTTCCATGGCGAACTGTTAAATAACCAGAGGGTAACTCATTTGACCCAACCCATCCCAGAAGCGATGTCCGGTCCTCGAGGTGATCTTTTTGACCTCGGCGCCGCACGGCGAAGTCTTCCCGCAGTGCGCGGTGTTGGTCCACCATGGCGGAGCGGGGACCATGTACGCAGCAGCTCGGATTGACATGTTTTTCCCCATGGATTTTCAGGGAAAATCCCCGAAAATGGCTGATGTTTACCTGGAAACCTCTATGAATTACGGAGATTCAACAAAAACATACAAAAACTGATGTTCCCTGAAACCAATCCATTGACAATGGGAACAGATCATTCTTTTGGATGTTGTTTTAAATTTTTGAATGGGGATGGATTATAACCTGGACCTCAAAGCTAGAGATGGCTTGGTACCAAAATAAAACAGAAAAGGTGGGGTCCAGTTGCTGTTGTGTTGACTATCTTTGTGCAATCCTCAGGGATCCCTTCAGATTTCAAGTCAATTTGTTCGGTTGTCTCAAAATTTCGAAACTGATTCTGTCCCATGGTATCATTATCGTCATTTTTGTCGCATTCTGACACTGCCGTAAAATGCCGTAAATATGTCATCCGAAAATGGGTGTGTTGATCTGAACATAGGGTAAATCCACGGATTTTTCTCACAATTTTCTCGAAAATTGCCATTCAGGGTCAATGTTTATCACATTTTCAGACAAAGCCCTAAGATCATACCAAGTTGGTGATAGTTTATATATCCATATAATTCCATATATATATATATCCATATAATTATATATATACAGTGAGTTATAGCCCATGATATCCTCGTTGTATCCCCATGAAACCCAAGTCCGACTTCTTGGTTAAAGCTGAAATTTTGCTCGACTGATTGAGGCAGCGGTAAGCGGAGTCCCCAGCGTGGTGCTGCCGATTCTGTTGGATCAGTACATCCATGCGGAGCTGGTGAATCAGAGAGGCATAGGCGCCTGGCGCGCAGCGCAGCGCGCAGAAAGCTTCAGAAAGTGCCAGGTTTTTGGGTGTGATATAGTGCAGATTGGTTTTATGATGAATATGAATGTTGAATAGTTATAATATGATGTTTTAATTAGATGTTATAACTGATTGGTTGAATATGAATGTTGAATAGTTTTTTAAGATGTTATAACTATCTGGTTGGTGGTGACTGGAACCATGGAATTTTATGACTTTCCATATATTGGGAATGTCATGATCCCAATTGACTAATATTTGTCAGAGGGGTTGAAACCACCAACCAGCTATAATATGTTTATGTATACAGAAGTACAAAGATACACATGTGGATAGGTGGATAAACTACATGAGTGACATAAGTGTTGTGTCAAATGCATTGAGAGTGAGTCTGAACAAAATGATTCTTGTCTATACTCAGAGGGCTTGCGGAGTGTGGAGGAGAGGCTCTACCGGAATCTACTCATGTGTGGCAAACCGCCCTGGGTACCAATGTTTTAACGATTCAAAGCGGTCCTAAACCAGGAACCATCAGGAACCCATTCACCACAGGCCTGACTTCCCATGGTTTGACAGGGATCGGCTTGAAGTCCATGCGGTTCGCCAGCGTCCAGCAGCTGTCCACTGCCATCACGGCGTGCTTGGAACGCCCTGAGATTCAGCAGAAGGCAGCCATGCTAAGCCGTCAGCTGGCCAAGGAGCCCAGGGCTACGCCGCTGCCACGGGCAAATGCGCCAAAAATGGGAGGCCCATTTATGCTGGTGGTTTCAAACATGAATTTTATTTTCCATATATATATATATTATATATTTATTATATTATATATATTATATATATATTATATATATTTATTATATTATATATATATGTATATATTATATATATATATTATATATATATATTTATTATATTATATATATATATATTATATATATTATATTATATTATATATATATTATATATATTATATATATATGGGATAATTCTTCCCATTGACTTTCATATTTTTCAAGATGGTTAGAACCCCCAACCAGTATGGCACTTTTTTTTTCAGAGAGATGATGATCAACCACTGGATTTGCCATGGTGCCAAAAAAGGTGCCCGGAATCTTCCGGACAAGCCCACGACGTTTTAAGGTCAAAATGGATCACAGAATTTTCAATATTCAGAACCATTGGTCATTGGTCCTCCATTTTTGACCACCCATAGAAATTTGGGGTGTGGACAACCAGACAAACGAGGGGCAGCGGACCCAAAATATACCACCTCAACATGTTTCGAACATTTTCGAAAGATATGGGGATGGATCAATATCTGGAGGACCATATCCAGCCATACCAACTATGTTGGTGTGACCCATAGGGCATAAAAAAGGGCCATATTCAAGGACTGCTAGGCTGCTAGACTATTTGTGTGACCATTTGGCGATGTTCATCGCACCAAGTCTGACATCACCCCTGAGGAGGATGGAGTCAAAGAGGTGGTGAAAGAAGTGAATCAGTTCTTTGCCGACTTCGTAGATACAGGTGCAGCGGTGCAGCAGGGAAGAAACCTCGGGGCAGCGAGTGGTTCTGAAGCCGAGATAGATTCTTAGATCAGCCACAACGATTCTGTTGAGAATTTGATGCGTTACCCTCTGGTGAACTAACATAGCAATGGAAAATGGCCATTTACAGTGGATTTTCCCATGAAAAATGGTGATTTTCCATTGCTATGTTAGTTCACCAGAGGGTACTGCTCATTCCTGTTTTGACTGCGGGCCATATATGTCTGGGTTCCAGGTGGTTCCAAAAGAAAACCTATCCCCTCGGTGTCGTGGTCTGCAGGTCGTTACTTTGAAGAAAAGGAGAAGTCCAAGGCCCATGGGTTAGTGAATTTGGAAAAAAACATGAAAAAATCATGAAAAAACTGTGAACGTCCAATGATTATAATGATTCCAATGTGGGAATAAGGAAGGATGAAAAAGGACTAGCTCAAAATGTATGAGCGCGTGGGAATAACTATGACATGTGGCAATTTAAAAACGTTACAATTTCAATCCGGGTTTGCCCAGAAATTGGGGAAATACCTCCGAAATTGCCATCGAAAACTGAGCAGAAATGATGATCAACCCTCGGAATTGTTGGGAGGCTTCCAGTGCCCCACTTTTGAGACAACCCCAAATGGTACCATATCACCCATGGAGTTTGGGAATATTCCAACATCACCTCCAAACGATGTCATAGTGACACACATCATAAATGAATCAAAGCCTACATTTGAAAGGGACAGAAATCACAACCCGCGCCGCTTAGGCGGACTCCCAGCGGGGCATTCTGCACTGCCTCGCCCGATGTCTCTGTAACTGGGGCTGTTGTTCCCTGTGCCGGGCTTGAGAGAAAACCTCCTGAGCTATGGTGCCATGGATGGAAGACCAGGTCTCTCCATGGTTTCACTTGTGGAACTGCATTAGTTGAAGAAAAAAAGCGGCTCTGGGGTGTGAGATTTATAGTGGGGTTTACAATGGGTGGTAGTGGAATCATATAAAGTGGATGGTGGAGTTTCGCAGTCCTTGCCTCAGTCTGACTCTTGAGTCTCCGGCTCCTCTCTCCCAGATTTGACATTCGGATGAATCACTAAAATTTGATAGGATTCTTCCATTGGATTGAGGACCCCAAAATTCTCAGCCCCGTTGAAATCAGAGCTCAGCTCCGCTGTTCTCATCCAAGGAATCGTCCGTCTGGATCCTGATACACCAAAGACATCCAAAACACATTGAACTTTGGAAGTTTCAGAAACAGAAAATCGTACTGAACTTAGGAAGATGGATGAAGATATTTTCAATGATATAACTAATATAACTGAGATTTTCACGTGAACGGCTGAGCCACTCAGAAAGCACCTCGAGCAACTCAGCGCCCCACGGCCCCGGTGCCACGGTCAGGTGGCTACGTTGGGTCACAGCCGGTTGCGGAACCCCTTGGGGTCGCTGCCTCGGGGGTTCCCATTACTCTGGGGCTGGGGAAAGATGGGAAAGCTGACATAGATGTGGAATGATGTGGACAACTCATATCATTTTCCATTCATTTTCCTAGGGACACCATCGTTCTTTCACATCTATGGTAGTTTACAGGAGGGTATGTTGTTCTCCCTATGTATTTGATGGAGGTCGCACTAGGATTCTGTTGTTAAACACTGCCCATCAGTGAGGATCACAAGTATATCAAGGTTTGGGTCTAGAGTCTGCAAGGGGCGATAGGATTAGATCTCCTTGTTTTGTGTGAAGTTCGTCGGATTCATATAGTCTCTTCCTTTGACAGTGAAGTACCACCAACAAGGCACCCAAAAATTAATAGATCCACTATGAAACCAGGGCTTTAAGCGGTGAATTTAGAAGGGATAACTTGGCACCTACTTTCTATGCCCTAGATTTCTTCCTAGGAGCCTCCTAGATCTCCAAAGTGTGATGTAGCTTATTACAACTGACCCCAAAACAGATGGATCAAAATTCAGAACGAGGAATTTTGCCCGTTGACTTTGCCTAGGTCTTCACTTTTTTTGAAGCAACAAACATCAATAAACAGAACTATGGAGGCAATAATGATAGCATTTTAGATGATATATCCCAAACAGAGATGCAATTTTAGATCATCATATATACGTGTATATATTATATATAATACTTTATATCTAATTATTTATATATATATATATATTAATTAGTTATATTATATATTATATATTAATATGGTCCCGCTCGGCGCCAAGATCTCATATGCTGGCCTCGTGCCACCTATGCACTACATAATGTGACATAACAGGATACCTCCATGCAGTGTTCACTGCTGCCTATATGCCCATACAATCTATTTGCAACGTAGTGCTGCCAATAAAGTACCTTTATAGTAGCCATATACTAGCTACTATCAAGATCTCATGTGCTGTACATACGTGCTTGCCACGTATTACCTATATACTATCTACATGATACCTCTATAGCACCCCACCCATCCCACAGGGGGGGCATGGGGGTAAGCTACAGCATGCATCACGCTATTTACAACGTATTCCTGCCCATAAAGTACCTTTATAGTAGCCATATACTAGCTACTATCAAGATCTCATGTGCTGTACATACGTGCTTGCCACGTATTACCTATATACTATCTACATGATACCTCTATAGCACCCCACCCATCCCACAGGGGGGGCATGGGGGTAAGCTACAGCATGCATCACGCTATTTGCAACGTATTCCTGCCCATAAAGTACCTTTATAGTAGCCATATACTAGCTACTATCAAGATCTCATGTGCTGTACATACGTGCTTGCCACGTATTACCTATATACTATCTACATGATACCTCTATAACACCCCACCCATCCCACAGTAGGGGGCGGGGGTAAAGTAGACCCTAGATGGATCATTTATATGCTAGCAAAATGTCAACTATATCTGACAGCGTATATACAAGACCATGACCATGAGGGTGGGGGGTTGCAATGCTGAGCCATATTATATATATTAATATATTAATATATATATATATATATATTAATATATATATATATTAATATATTAATATATATATATGTGTATTATTATATTATATATACATATATATTATTATATTATATATATAATATTACATTACATTACATTATATTATATTATATTATATTGTATTATATTATATATATATATATCCCCAAGCACAAAAAATATCCCAGAAATCTAACAGAAAATCCAGAAATCTCCTTGAGGCTGCCCATGTTGGCCGCCCGCGGCACGGTGGCTGGAAAGGTGGCATCTGGAGTCTTCGTCCGCCTGTCCTTGGTTGCAGCGTTGGACAACCATGGGGAACCCAGCACTTTTGTTGCGACTTTTTTTGTGGGAGAAAATTTTGACAAAGTTGATAAAAACTGATGAATATTATATAAAAATAGATTAAATATCATTAATTGTTAAATGGGTGTATGTAACAAGCCCTGAATCTTTGAGATAAAAGTTGGTTTAGTGTCCAAGCAAGAATAGTGATATCATCCAATAATCATTACCACAAAATATCTAGAATGAGATAGGTGTTGAGGTGATGAGGGATGAGATAGGTGTCTCATGGTCCCACCCAAACTTGGGGGTATCATCCAATGATTGAGAATGATTGGAACTCACTGGAACGTGGCTTGATAGAGGCCGCTCGTCATTTGAGTTTGGGAGTCAAAGATGGAGCACCGGAAAAAACGCATGTTTCTTGTCATCTTTAGTATCAAGCTCTCCATTACTGGTTGGTGGTTTGGAACATGAATTTTATTTTCCATTTCATATATGGGATGTCAACGGATGTCATCCTTCCCATTGACGAACTCATATTTTTCAAGATGGTTAAAACATGTTAAAACCACCAACCAGATATATATATAATATAATCCACCAGATAATCCACCAGATAATCCATCATTAACCATTGTTAAACCCATCATTTTCCCATATTAAAACAAGGGGTCAGTTTTTTTTGGAATATTTCGACCTTGGTCCAATTGGTCCAAATTGGTGATTGGATGGTCATCACCCAGACATCCAACACATCATCCACGAATTTCGTATGCCAAATTTTGGGATGTCCCAATCCCATGACGGATCTGGCTGGTGCTGGTAGAAAAATGCTAACATGACTGGGATATATTGATGGGATCCATGGCACACATTTTTTAGGCAGCACCGAAAAAGGATCCGTCATGGGAATAGGATTCACCAGATAAAAACTAACATAGCTATGGAAAATCACCATGTTTAATGGGAAAATCCACTATAAATGGCAATTTTCAATAGCTATTTTGACATAACCAGAGGGTATCCATACCATATCCGACAGACTTCCCCTTGGGATGATCATACGGTGCCAGGATCCTGCGGTCTGCGCCCGCTTCGCGGCGGAAATGAAGGCAGAAATTCATTATCGATGCCGGTGAAATGGTGGTTTGGAACAGGGAGAGCTATGAGAAGCTAATAGATCCTATATCATAGTCTATATACTGGTGATTATAATGGTGATATAATCTGGTTGATGATTGGGGATTATATCCTCTAAAACTTATACTGGTTATTACACTACCAATATACTATATACCAGTATATATTTATTATACTACCAGATATTGGTACTTTATACTACCCAATATATTGGGGATTATAATCTGGTTGGTGGTTTGGAACAGCCGTGGGCTCTACACCTACCAGCAGGTGCGGCCGTGCCCTGCTGATCGTAGAGCGTTCCGTTCACCGTGTTGTGCCATGGACCTTCATGGACCCTGCTGGAGTTGACGCTGGAGGTAGGCTTTCTGCCGTGGTCATGGTGGTGGTCTTTGATCCTGCACGTGAGTGCCACTTGGGTCGTTCTGTCCGCGTTGGGACTGGTTTGATGCTTTCTGGCCTCTTGGATGGAGCTCCTGATGTGCTCACTCTGTTGGATGTTGTCCTGGTGCAGCAATTCTCCGTTCTGTTGCTGAGGGTGGATGATGGTACTAAGGTGTTGTTGCACTCACTGTATACCTGGGAGGACTTCTTCACACTGGTCGATGCTTACTGCGGGTTAGGTGATCCGACACATGGAGCCCCTGCCGTTGGTATGCATACCATGGTTGCTGTTGATTCAAATGCCCGTATGATGTTCTTCTACAAGGTTCATGGAGGATGTAAGTATGTGATTGGTGATGCTGGCAGTACCCAGGTGATCGCTGGAGTGTGGTCCAAGTGCAATCATGCTGCGGTGATGAGTGCAGGATTTTCATGTCCGCCTTTTTCCCGAGTGGGTGATCGTAAAGGAGAGGCAGCCCTTCGTGCTATGTCCCTTCCTAAACTCCGTAGAGCTGTACTGTGTCTGTGTGTTCATGTTTTTGTGCTTGAATGCGTTGTCCCTGCATGCCGAGATCCGTTCATCTCACAACACCTTGATAGGTTTGTGGATGTGTCTGGATTTGTGAAGGAGGACATCAACCTTGAGCTCTCTGCTTGTGGTCAGGTGCAACAGCTGATGCAAAAACAAACACAGATTGACGGGCAGTTTCTGGAGTTCACCCACCATCCGCCTCAACAAGTTTCGAAGCTACAGGCCCAGATGCAGGCTCAGTATCCACAACTTCACGGCCAAAGTGAAACTCAGAACCAGTGCATCCAGATGTTTGAGATTCGGTTTTCTCATATACGTGGCTTGTTGCGGAAGCGCCCGAGAAATGATGGTGAATGTTGGGGTGGGCATGAGCTGCTTTGCTCTCACAGTGGTATGATGATGATGGGGTCTTGTTATGCCGTGTGCATGTTTGCTGCTCTGATGCCCTTCTACCAGGTTTTGGGGTTCGTGTCAACCGCCTTTTCGGCCAGGGCTGGCCACAGTGTCAAGTCTTGGTTGTTTACGCTGTTGCTCCTTTTCAAAGTATGCCGGATTGGTGAGGCTTCTCCTCCGGGTCCGTGTAATCAGGCCTTGTTGCCGCCTCGACCTTAGTGTCACCACAGTCAATGCACTGTCTTCTCTACCCAAGCCAGTGCGATACACAAAGCGGTACAAAGTGGTGGTTTGGAACATTTTTTTATTTTCCATATTTTCCATTTCATATATGGGATGTCATCCATCCCACTGACTTTCATATTTTTCAAGATGGTTAAAACCACCAACCAGTATAGTTAATGCATGTTAATGCCATATATGATCGTATAATAGAACTATCTTATTACTAGATAATCTATATAAATCTAACTAAATCGATATAATACCATCTAATACCTAGTCCTGATGAGTGGTTCAACCATCTCCAAGGTTCATGAGATGACACCAACTCGCCAGCAGGAACATGGCTTTTGGGATGCGTTTTGCAATCCGCCAAATTTGATGGTCGAAAAATGTGAGTGGCTGTTTGTCTATATCCTATTCTGTTTTCTTCTCTCTCTCTCTCTCTCTCTCTCTCTCTCTATGTACTCTATGTAGACTTCTTTGCTTCACCCCTGGATTTAAAAGAAGACTTGGTTGTGTCCCCAGGTTCCCCCCAAAGTTGCCCCATTCAATTGGTTATGTTGAGGGTATGCCGAAAGGATCCGAAAGGTATACCCCATTTTGAGATAAACCTATGCACGGTACCTCATATTATTGGTTGTATCCGCATGTTTTTTGCAGTATATCACCGTTTTTTTTCTGACTCACTAAACAATATATTCCCATCATGACTGTGATATCACCGTCAAACCCCAGATTTCATCATACATATATATATAATTATATATATATGTATATATCCCTATGAACCCCCATGAAATCCCATTGTACCACATGTTTTTCTTGGTTTACATCCCATTTCGGTGGTGTTATTTCCTATCCCCATCAGACCTGTGGCCCTCGCGCTGTTGCACGACTGGCCATGGACTTGGGAGTCGGGGGACCAAGCAACAACTGTGATACGAAATGGGAATCCTATGAAAAACAAAACACTGTAGCCTACCACTTTAATCCAGTTGATTGGGATTGTTGAATAATTTGTTATAGGCAGTTGTTTGTTGGGGAAGAAAATGGATAGAACTTACATGAACTTACCATTTTGATTCATGCTATGGGTATATGTTTTGGGGGATATAAGCAATCAACTTGATATGATCCTTGGAGGTGTGTGAAAAAAATGGAGCCATGAAATGGCCATTGGAAATTGGGAAACATGATGAGAATGAACCAAGTTCGGGGTACCCTATCATGAGACAAAACCATATATGTTTGTATGTATGTATGATTATGTACCTACATTGTATATTATATATATATTGACTTTTAACCAACCGTGATTGTGCTCCAGTGAAGAGAAGTGGGATGCGCATCCTTGTGCAGGAATGGGAACCTTCGTTGGTGTCGTTATCCTGTGGATGGTACTAATACTAAACCACCCCAAAATAATAAACACCTCAGGTAGTTTTTAGTATTAGGGGGGTATTTATTATTAGGGAAACCTATTAATAAAATTAAACCCTTAATAATAAAAACTATGTTTTCCGATCTCAAAATCAATTAAATTTCCTTATATAACGCCATTAAAATATTGCCAAAAGTTAAATATCGAAGCGGACCCTATTAACAAAACTAAACCATTAATAAAAAGAACTAGTCTGTTCGATTTCAAAATCAATTAAATGTCCTCATATACCACCATTAAAATATTGCCAAAAATTGGATTTCGAAGCAGACCCTATTAATAAAATTAAACCCTTAATAATAAAACCTACTTTTTCCGATCTCAAAATCAATTAAATTTCCTTATGTAACGCCATTAAAATATTGCCAAAAGTTGGATTTCGAAGCGGACCCTATTAATAAAATTAAACCCTTAATAATAAAAACTACTTTTTCCGATCTCAAAATCAATTAAATTTCCTTATAATATAACGCCATTAAAATATTGCCAAAAGTTGGATTTCGAAGCGGACCCTATTAATAAAATTAAACCCTTAATATCCCTTAATAATAAAAACTACTTTTTCCGATCTCAAAATCAATTAATTTCCTTATATAACGCCATTAAAATATTGCCAAAAGTTGGATTTCGAAGCGGACCCTATTAATAAAATTAAACCCTTAATATCCCTTAATAATAAAGACTATTTTTTTCCGATCTCAAAATCAATTAAATTTCCTTATATAACGCCATTAAAATATTGCCAAAAGTTGGATTTCGAAGCGGACCCTAATAATAAATTAAAAGCCCTAATATAAAAAACTAAAAATTCTCGGACGGACATTAATAATAGACACCCCGAGGTTGACAAGTTTTTAGTATTAGGGGGCAAAACCCACAAATAGTAGCTTTATTTTTAAATTGCTTTCTAAAGGGGATCAATTAAAAGTCAAATTGGCCGATCTGAAATTTTCCGAAATTGGAGATGGACCCCTGTTTTTAGTATTTGGGGGACGTTTAGTAATAGGAGGAAGGGATTATATAATTAGTAGATATACGTATGTATATACATGTCATTTATATGTACATTATAGTTCGTTCTTATATATATATACATGTGATTAATATATATATATATATATATTATATATATGTTATATATATATATACTGTATACATATCATATTATGTACATATCATATTTAATATAGAGTATATACACATGGCAGGATATGTAGATGACCAGCCCATCATCTCAGGCGGATCCCAGATCTCTGGCGGATGATGGCCTGTCACCCTACACTGCAGCGATTTTGAGAGAGGCCTCGAGGGGCTTCGAGGGGGGCGGCGAGCCGAGCGGTGAGATTCAGCCGATGCAAACTGGGCCAAGGGCGGCCAAGGGCCAAAAAATCCAGCTGCTTGGTGCTGACTGGAACTTTCCCTATAAATACTGGATTAACTATGGTTTATGGTAGATATAACTATGGTTAATGGGGATGAATTCATGGTTTATAAACCAACAAACACTGGTTGCTGACTGGAACCATGGATTTTTATGACTGACTTTCCATGAAAAGTTGGGAATGGAATGTCATCATCCCAACTGACGAGTTGTCCATCATTCTTCATGGGGTTGAAACCACCCTTCAGAGGGGTAGGTCAACCACCAACCAGCCTGAGTTTCTGTTGCTTTGTCAAAGGTCACACAGAGTTATGATTTAGAAATCATGTCGAAATGCAACAACAGTTCCATGGTTTTGACAAGCAAATCAAGTTGAACCAAATGTGCTTAAGTTGAGCGCAAAACACAACAACGAGCACAAGGGTTTGCTTTGACACATACACTGCTCACCCAAGATCATTAAATATCCCTGGGGTTATCAACACAGAGGCTACCATGCCTAGTTCGTAGTTTAGACCAAAGGATGTCATCAATTTTCATCAACTGGGTTTGTGTGAAAATTGGGTCCCCAAAAATCGACCGGTTTATCAGCTTATGATCATTTTCCTACAGTTTCTCATCAAGTGGTAAACAAAAAAGATCATTTTCAGAACACACCCAAAGATCTAATACTATTGCTGGCATGTCCCATTATAATTCATGATATATCCATACATATATAATCTTATATATATAATAACTGGTTGGTGGTTTCAAACATTTTTTCCATAATATATTGGGGATAATCATCCCAACTGACTTTCATATGTTTCTTTCGATGGTTAAAACATGTTAAAACATGTTAAAACCACCAACCAGTATATAACCATCATATTCCCATTGTTGTTGGTTTATACCCTATTAACCACTATACAGTATATATATATATATATATATCTAATCTCCCCATGATTCCTATATTCCGATGGGTCTTCGGCCGTTGCTCCAGTTAAATTCAGGACCCCTGCGGCCTGCTGCGCGGTTTGGATGTGAATCTCCGGCGAAGGCCGGGTTTTGGAACTTCCGATGATATTTTTACATGGAGAAACATCGATTTTTAGCCGATACATTGGGATGTTTAATGGAAAAATCATCTATAAATGGTGCACTATAACTGGAGGTTATCATCCCCAATGTTTAATGGTTTATAAACCACTATAATCCCCATTAACTATAGTTATATCTACCATAAACCATAGTTAATCCACTATTTATAGGGAAAATTCCAGTCAGCACTGTTCATAGTTGTTCTTGGTTTCAAAAAGGACAAAGCCAGATTCGTGTTTTTCTGATTTTTGAGTTGGCAAGTCTCTATGACTTCAGAATTGGTGTGGTTTTTGTTGATGAACCAAGCCCATAGGACAAGAACTGTAGCTTACAGCCCACTAAACACGTTGACCCTGCAAAGTGACAGGGCAGTGGGGAGTTTTCAGAGGGAATTGCTGTTCCTTGTCAGACATGGTAACATGTGGAACATTTGGATACATTTGGTAACATGAAGAAACGGTTTGTATATCCAAGACTCGCTGCTTCATGCTTTCAGACAGTCCCTTCTGATGATGTCCCTGAATTGGTTAGCTAGCTCCAGTATGTTGAGACCACCAGCGGATGTTTGTGCAGTGGACAAGTTGATCAAAAACCTCAAAATCAAGCAGGATCTATCACATCCGGGTCGCCGAAAATGTGAACAACAAAGATAGGGGTATTGGAAGCCGGAACAGTAGAGAATGATCCAAGCCAAGGCATTTAAAGAAACATACATATACATTATATATAAGCCTCCATGAATTCGAATTTTCCAAACAACGAACTGTGCAGTGAAGAATTTTGTTGCAGGATTCTACGTGGGGACGAGAATGCCTGGGCAGAAGTGGCTCGTTCAGCTGCAGGATCCAATGGGTCTCAACCGGATTAGGCAGCTAGAGAAGATGTTTGAAGGGTAAGATTGGCCATAAGTATAGAAGAGAAAATGCTAGCTAAACTTTGTTGCAAAACTGATGGTTGCTGTTGATTTGAATGCTCAGAACAAACGGTCGTTGAGATTCGGACTTGTAGTCTTTAATGCTTCAGATGCTGTGGAGACATGGCGAGACTGGTGACTGAAGGCTACCAAATTGGGCTGTTTCTGCATGGTGATTCGTTTCAGCATCCAATTTGATGTGGAAAAGCCATGAAAAGCCAACAATAAACTCGATAAACCTACCATTTGGGGGTGGTTTATTCTTGGGGTTACCGCATTAGGTTTCTGAAAACCAACGGCATGTGTTCAACTTGCATATCCGTCAGGTCCGTCGTGGCATAAACGTCAAGGTCAACCTCGAATGGATAGAACTACCATCAGGTTATTTAACATAGCCCTGGAAAATCACAATTTTTAATAGGTAAACCATTTATTTCTATGGGCCATCTATACCATGGCTATGTTAAATAACCAGAGGGTAACAACAAAAATGTTTCTTTCAGCATCTTTCAGCTATCTCACCCCACCTTCAAATTTTCCACCTGTTCACCAAAACGTTCACCTAGATTCGATTTTTCTTCGCTATTTGATTGACATGTTCTCGGCATTTCGCGAAAACAAATGTGTGCTGCAAGGCGACCTTTCTATCTCATCAATCCACAGAGCCCAGCACTGAAAATAGTTGGTTTACAAAAGCCATATATGAACTGGATATCATAAAGCCGGGTGATTTTTCAGCTTTCTCAACCAACATGCTGCTAACTATGGGGAAGCACCTTTTTTGAGATGACTCTGGGATGGTCAGGAAAGGAGCTGCCGGACATCGCAGCGGGGGCACTCTCCAGAGGCACGGTCACAAGCGGTTACAAGCAGATGGGTGAGAGGAACGCCCCGAAAATCCATGGTTATTTGACAATCATGTAGTATGGTTAGAGAATGTTAGAGAAATATCCAGCAACTAATCATACTAATCCATAGATATTTATCCAGAAAGGGAATAGATTGCGGATGTTTTTTTGGGAATATCGAGGGAATCATTCATGGAATACAAGCAACAATATTGGAGGTTCTTAAAATGCGGCATCCCCAAACTATTTTTTTGATCACCTTTCCTTGGGAAATGTGTTTCACAGCCCAATGTGTTTGCCCAGGTCTTGCAATTCCACAGAAGATGGCAGAGGCTGGTGTCCCTTATGGATCGATTTCCAGTATGACATCGTATGAATTGCAAATCAACAGCTAATACATACTAACAATATGTAATAATAGTAAGAATAATACATTATCATCATACATTATCATATGTTAAACTGAATACATATATAGTCGTTAATATATAGATAAGATGTATACACATTTGATTTATATGTTATACAATGTTATACATATATATAGTTTAAAATGCAGCTATGTAATTCCTCTCATTTTGCTTGCCATAGGAGCTGCTGACCTACTGCTTCGATGCGGACCTGCCCTTCCTGGCCCTTCGAGGTGGTTTCTGCAAAAATTGCCTGGTGAAACCAGCCCTGCTTTTCGTTTACCATAACCATGAGAATGAATGGGAATGAATAGGAATGTTGGTTCAAACAAAAAGAAGTCCTGGAGTCTTAAAAGTTGAAGGATCATGAGTGACTGAAACATATTACATATGTCTCGGGTGGTTTTATCTGAAACATATTACATATCTCGACCTCATCACCACATGATTCACGCCCCAGACTGTATAACCTTGTTACAGTTCGCACATTGTAATGGGCTGGAAAATGCTGAAGTTCCCTTGCAGTCCTCGAGCGCGTGGATGGGAAGCGTTTCCTGCTGCCGGCCTTGGAGAGGGCCCCTTGACACTCAGTGGAGTGGCACCAGCCATGGGGAATTTACCAGTGGGGAAAGCATAAATAAATATAGACCATGTTAGATATTAGTGATATACCACCGGTGAATTATATCATTAATTATGATTTCACCAGTGGAATATAGACCATAATTAAAAAGACACCAGCCATGAAGATATTAATTGATATATTGACCATGTTAGAATCTGCTCGGTGTCTTTTCCTGGCAACTGCTGATACTGGTACCTGTGAGTTTCCTCATGGCTTTGGGATGAGGAACTTCCAGTCGTTAGTGCCCGGATACAAGGCATCTTTCAGCAACAAAAATGAGTCATCACTGGGATTATCATTCCACTTTTTCAAGTTATTTGGATTTATCTGGTACATGTTGGCACTGCTATTGAAATTGGTTCCTGGAACCAGCCCTTCTTGGCTCTTGAAGCTGTCGGCTGCGTTTGAACGCAAATTTCTCGCTGTCTCCTTGACCATGATGAGTGCCTTGGTTATCACAGCTAGCAATGAAGTTGCAAGTCCCATGAGCAGCCTATACCATACTATACCAAGATTGAAAATGATGGAAATACTGAAGTGGCTACTGCAGAGTACTGCCAAGTTCCTGACCCCCAGTTGCCCATAAAACAAACGTCCCGTCCTGTCATCGAAACGCCGCTGTTTGTTTAGGTCTTCTTTGGTGCTTGCTGGTGTCCGCCGTGGCAGATCCACTGGTCTTCGAATTCCTGGACACCACATGGACCATCGAAGTGAAGGGCAGCGACTTGGAGGTCACCGCAGACTGCGCAGACACTGGGCGTTGAGAAGCCATGGCTTGGTTTGCTGTGATAAATGTAAAGATAAATGGAGTTATTTATAAATAATTAATGGATAATATAAATAATATATAATAGATAATATTGGAGTTATTATCTCTATCGATAATCCACAAAGAAATGGATAGAGATGGATAGAAATGGGAGTTTGGAGCCACGTTTGATTCCCGGAGGGTATCTTAGAAAGTATCTCCTGTTTTCGGATACTCGAAGTGAATGTGTTCCTGGACATTGCAATAAAGAGATATAGAGATATATATATATATAGAAAGTATCCCCAACATATTCCAAGGTCGCGATATCCGCATTTCCGGTGGGAATATTGGGAATGAGTTTGACCAAAAAGTACCCTTAACTTCCAACTTGACCTTTTTTAATCCTATAAGAAGCGCCCAGGAAAACACCTGGTGCGGCTTCGGCTTCAACAAGGACATGGCACAGATGGATGGCTCAGTCTCCTGGAGTTTTTATTGGGCCACTCAGTAGTGAGGTGATCTCTGATGTATCCCAGCCTTGAAGGTCTTGCCAGGATCCGGGAACATTCTAAACTGGCTGGTGGTTTGGAAATGTTTGGAAACCCGTGAATTTTAATGAATTTTAAGTGACTTTCCATGAAAAGTTGGGAATGGAATGTCATCATCCCAACTGACGAAGTCCATCATTTTTCAGAGGGTAGGGCTCAACCACCAACCAGTAAAAATGATATCAGCAAGCTGGTCCAAGCTCCCTTCTTGGTCTTGACTTGACTCATCTTGACTCCGAAATCGCCCCAGTTTTTGACGCCTTGCACCAGATCGAAGCCACTGAGGATGTATTTACCTTCGGATACCATGCGAGCGCCGATCTGGTGGATTGTCCCACCAAGGGCTGCGGGACTACCGGATGCGGCTGTGGCTGTGGTTGCGGAACTTCCCGACGTCTCCGCCAGCCCGAGAAGCTTGGATCTCACAATTGGGAGATAAAAATCGTTGGATTCTATACCCTCTGGTAATTTAACATAACTATGGAAAATCACCATGTTTAATGGGAAAATCCACTATTTCTATGGCCATTTTCAATAGCTATGTTAAATTACCAGAGGGTAGTTCCAAATGATAACTACTCAAATCAGCTTCTCTGGAGACATTTCTTGGGATCGGACATTGCTTGTCCGGGATGAGTGTGTCAGATCAAGGATGGTTCTGGAAAGGCTTTTAAAATCATTTAATTATGTTTAATTCAGTACGGTTAAGATCGGTTGTTTGATCCCCATGCTGTGAGTTGCGACCTGAGGAATCCATACATCCCTCGTGCACGTGACCTGAAAGTGCAGTTGCCCAAAGCTTCTGCACCAGGGGCGCCCAAGGGCCTGGAAGAGCTTGGTGGAGTGGTGTCTCAGCTGAAAGATAGGGATGAGGGAAGATTATATACATAGATGTGACATAGATGACATGGCGGTTTCAAGCGAGCCCAGGCTGGTTAAATGCGATTGTGGATAAGGAGGGGGTGTAGAACTATGTGCTGCTGATTTAATACGGTGAAATTTAGAATCCGATGTTGAAACTAGTTGAAACCCCTTTCGACAGCCGAGGGTCTTTGTCTTGATGCGGAAAGCACTCATACGATTCATAATATGAGTTCTATCAAGTGCCTTTCATGACTATGGTTCCTACGGCTGCGTATCATGTCTTGCTTTGTAGCTCCTTGTCTGACTTGGGATTCCGATGTCGAAAGGTTTCCAACTTGGGAGATCTTGGGACGCAACTTCGAATTGAATTTAAAGTTCAGAAGTTCAATTCATTCCCCTCAATGATGAAAAGGAGAAAAGTCCGCCAAGTCAGCAGAATCTTACCAATTGGTTGAGGTTCAAGTCCCACTTCGATTGTGTGTAGCCTGGGTACCCTGACCTCACCCAGGTTGGTGTCGCAATGAATGGAGTGCTGTTTGTGCACGAACACCCAGAGGACTCAGTACAGATGGGTGCAAGTCAAATTATAAGGTCCGGAACAAGGTCCGGGACCACACCCGTTCCATACCCCCGTTCCATACCTGTTTGAAGGATCCGTTCCATACCTCTGTTCCATACCTCTGATCCATACGTTATGATATATTATATATATATGTACTATATATATATATATATATATATGCATGTGTATATATATATATGCATGTACATATATATATATATATGCATGTATATATTTGAACATGTGCAGTCTGTGTTTTACATTTGTACGCACATACTTGAGCGCACATACATACATGAGTGCGTACATGCAAGAATACGTCTACTATGCCAGCCCTGTGATTGTGTTGGCAAGTCTGTGCCTGCAGCACTTGCAGCTGCTACCTACTTTGTTGTGTGATGGTAGGGATGTACTTGGCTGCTGCCAGCCGGCAGTCTAAGAATGGATTGCTTGTAACCCTCCCTCCCTCTCAACCTGTGGCAGGTTTGCGCCTGCACCACTTACAGTTGCTGCCCGCTGTGGCACAGCTGTGATGTTTGATGGTAGAGATGCGCTTGGCTGTTGCCAGCTGGCAGTCTAAGAACTGCTTGCTGCGCTGCTCTCGCTCCAAACTGCCAATTTTGATCAAGATGTGCTGCGTGGTGGCAGAGCTGTGCTGGAGTGTGCCGTTTCGTTCCAGACCCCGTTCCGAACAAATGGCAGGTTCTCACATAGACTGCTCCTAAGCCATCCTTTGCGCGTGGGTTATGGGAGCCTAGAGTCTTGCTACGCGGGGACACAATCTACCCCATAGGGACCTCTGAGCTTTAAGAGTAGGAGGTGGGACCTGCGAGACAGGTCTGAAGCTGAGTGGGCAGCTTCACATGGTAGCCAGTGGGTAACGCAAAGCTAGTGCACGAGCACCAGCCATGCAAGGCAAACCTGCGTTGAACAGGTGTACAACAAGGATGCCGTGCAGATGAGAAGTGAAAATGAGCGGCAGCCAGCGTGAGTAGCTTCAACGTGCATATCCTTGAGATGTATATTATATACATATATACAGTATACATATATATTTTTTTATATTTATGTATAGCCTATATTTCATCACACTCCAAAGGTCCGGAACAAGACCAGTTACGAAGCCCCTTCGTTCCATACGTCCAGAACACCGCGGAACGTTCCATACACAATTTTGACTCACAGCCAGATATGCACAGATTGTGTGTATCGTTCGATGCGTCGATTCAACATGAGGTATGCCGTCCCAGGATGTCCCAGGCATCGGGTTTTTCAGGGCCCCGGCGTTTGGGCACCTCTTTCGAGCCTGTGTGATGTTCTAATTGAATCTAATGATTCACCCACAGCACAATGATTCCTGCTTTCCAAGATGGATGAACGCTAATTTGAGTGAAGCCGCTCTCGTCAGTCCTCTTCTCGTCAGCAGTGTGTTTCATCTTTTTGTGATGGAACATCACCGGGTCATCATCCATCATCCATTCGCATTTCTCCTATGAGATTCACGGAAATTCAGGATGGTCCATGGCCCGAGATTTTTTGGTTCGTATCCTGTGGAACAAAGCTGTAATCCTGAAAGTTGCCAGTGATTTTCCTGTTGCAAATTATGAGGGAGGTTATAAGATGTTGCAAAGATTTATATAATCTTATATAATCTTATACCAGTAGTACCCGCACGAGGCGGGGCGGAAGCTGCCTTAAAGATATATATAAGACCTTTCTCATCTATAGAACTTGCATGCGCCGTGCGCCAGCGAAGCCCGTGCGTGCGTGCACTCTGCGAAACTGGTGTCTTGTTTCACATGTCACATTTGAAGCTCCACGTCACACTTCACACTTGACAGTCTTCACACTCCACACTACACACTGCACTCTTCACACTGCACTCTGCGCACTGCACACTCCACACTTCACACTTCACACTCCACACTTCACACTCCACACTTCACACTGCACGCTTCCCACTGCACACTCCACACTTCACACTTCGCACTCCACACTTCACACTTCACAGTCCACACTTCACACTTCACACTCCACACTTCACACTGCACTCTTCACGCCCCACACTTCACACTGCACCCTTCACACTCCACACTTCATCTCATCTGAGCTCTTCTCACCTTATCCCAGCTCATCTCTTCTGATCTCATCTCTTCTCATATGTCATCTAAGCTTTCATGAATCACTTCCCAGCACTACTACTAAGGAACTGGATCTCGACGCCAAAGCGACAAAAAGACGATCTTGAAGCACTTTTTAAAAGGAATTTTAAAAGGAAAATTATTTGCGCCAAAATTGGGAAAATCTGCTGACAAATCACTTTCGCAGCCTTGATGCAGCCATTCCAATACGATTTACGATCTTCAGCTGCAAAAGACAATAGTATTACGCATGCAGCCGCTGCGCCAAGCAACCTTGACGCAGCCACTACAATGCGATCTGCAGAGACTGAGTTGCAAAACACAATAGAACTACGTGCAATGGCGTCGGAAATTGCAGCTCCAAAACCGGTTAGATCTCGACGCCAAAGCGACAAAAAGACGATTTTGAAGCACTTTTTAAAAGGAATTTTAAAAGGAAAATTATTAGCGCCAAAATTGAGGAAATCTGCTGACAATTCACTTTCGCAGCCTTGATGCAGCCATTCCAATACGATTTACGATCTTCAGCTGCAAAAGACAATAGTATTACGCATGCAGCCGCTGCACCAAGCAACCTTGATGCAGCCACTACAATGCGATCTGCAGAGACTGAGTTGCAAAACACAATAGAACTACGCGCAATGGCGTCGGAAATTGCAGCTCCAAAACCGGATCTCGACGCCAAAGCGACAAAAAGACGATTTTGAAGCACTTTTTAAAAGGAATTTTTAAAGGAAAATTATTAGCGCCAAAATTGAGAAAATCTGCTGATACATCACTATCGCAGCCTGGATGCAGCCACTCCAATACGATTTACGATCTTCAGCTGCAAAAGACAATAGTATTATGCATGCAGGCGCGGCATCAAGCAACCTTGACGCAGCCATTCCAATGCGATCTGCAACCACGGCTTCAAGAAACGCATAGAACTACGCACACAGGAACAAGCATTGTGGCAAAACACATAGAAGGAACCAAACGACCGCAGCCGCAACCGCCGCACACACGAGGTACCTTTCATGGGCTGCAGCCACTTTACACGGAAAAACACAAGGTTTCGTGCTCCGGCTTCCTCCCCAAAACAGAGCCCTTGCAACATCATGCAACCATTCCAATGCGATCTGCAAGCACGGATTCCAAAACACCCTATAACTACGCACACACAAGCACACCCAAAGCAGCTTGAAGCCACCGTTACAATGCGGCAAAAAAAAAGGCAAACCGACCGCAGCCGCACCCGACGTACAGACAAGGTACCTTTCATCGCCGGCTGCAGCCACTTTACACGGAGAAACACAACGTTTCGTGCCCCGCCTTCCTCCCTAAGACATAGCCCATGCAACATCATGCAGCCATTCCAATACGATCTGCAAGCACAGATTCCAAAACACCCTATGATTATCCACACACAAGCACACCGAAAGCAGCTTGAAGCCACCGTTACAATGCGGCAAAAAACAAAGACAAACCGACCGCAGCCGCACCCGCCGCACAGACGAGGTACCTTTCATCGCCGGCTGCAGCCACTTTACACGGAAAAACACAAGGTTTCGTGCTCCGCCTTCCTCCCCAACACAAAGCCCATGCAACATCATGCAGCAATTCCAATGCTATCTGCGACCACAGCTTCAAGAAACGCATAGAACTACGCACACAGGAGCAACCACTCGTTGCAAAACACATAGGAGGAACAATTCACGACAGAAACGACCGCAGCCGCAACCGCCGCACAGACGAGGTACCTTTCATCGCCGGCTGCAGCCACTTTACACAGAAAAACACAAGGTTTCGTGCTCCGGCTTCCTCCCTAACACAAAGCCCATGCAACATCATGCAGCAATTCCAATGCGATCTGCCACCACAGCTTCAAGAAACGCAAAGAACTACGCACACAGGAACAACCACTCGTTGCAAAACACATAGGAGGAACAATTCGCGACAGAAACGACCGCAGCCGCAACCGCCGCACAGACGAGGTACCTTTCATCGCCGGCTGCAGCCACTTTACACGGAAAAACACAAGGTTTCGTGCTCCGGCTTCCTCCCCAAAACATAGCCCATGCAAGATCATGCAGCCATTCCAATGCGATCTGCAAGCACAGATTCCAAAACACCCTATAACTACGCACACACAAGCACACCCAAAGCAGCTTGAAGCCACCGTGACACTGCGGCCAAAAAAAAACGATACACCGACCGCAGCCGCACCCGTCGCACACACGAGGTACCTTTCATCGTCGCCTGCAGCCACTTTACACGGAAAAACACAAGGTTTCGTGCTCCGGCTTCCTCCCCAAAACATAACCCATGCAACATCATGCAGCCATTCCAATGCGATCTGCAACCACAGATTCCAAAACACCCTATAACTACGCACACACAACCACACCCAAAGCAGCTTGAAGCCACCGTGACACTGCGGCCAAAAAAAAACGATAAACCGACCGCAGCCGCAACCGTCGCACACACGAGGTACCTTTCATCGTCGCCTGCAGCCACTTTACACGGAAAAACACAAGGTTTCGTGCTCCGGCTTCCTCCCCAAAACAGAGCCCATGCAAGATCATGCAGCCATTCCAATGCGATCTGCAAGCACAGATTCCAAAACACCCTATAACTACGCACACACAAGCACACCCAAAGCAGCTTGAAGCCACCGTTACAATGCGGCAAAAAAAAGGCAAACCGACTGCAGCCGCACCCGCCGCACACACGAGGTACCTTTCATCGCCGGCTGCAGCCACTTTACACGGAAAAACACAAGGTTTCGTGCTCCGGCTTCCTCCCCACAACACACGGCATGCAACCTTCATGCAGCCATTCCAATGCGATCTGCAAGCACAAATTCAAGAAACGCATGGAACTACGCACACAGGAACAACCATTGTTGCAAAACACATAGAAGGAACCAAACGACCCCAGCCGCACCCGCCGCACACACGAGGTACCTTTCATCGCCGGCTGCAGCCACTTTACACGGAAAAACACAAGGTTTCGTGCTCCGGCTTCCTCCCCAACTCACCACTTCCCTTCCTCACCACTTCCCATCGTCACCACTTCCCATCGTCACCACCTCCCTTCGTCACCGCTTCCCTTCCTCACTACTTCCCTTCGTCACCACTTCCCATCGTCACCACTTCCCTTCGTCACCACTTCCCTTCGTCACCACTCCCCTTCATCATCACTTCCCTTCTTCACCGCTTCCCTTCGTCACCACTTCCCTTCTTCACCACTTCCCTTCCTCACCACTTCCCTTCGTCACCACTCCCCTTCATCATCACTTCCCTTCTTCACCACTTCCCTTCGTCACCACTTCCCTTCTCCACCACTTCCCTTCCTCACCACTTCCCTTCGTCACCACTCCCCTTCATCATCACTTCCTCAAGGTCAATTTCATAGCTTCTTATTCTTTTGTTATGTATTGGTACATTATGTATTGTTATATGATCTACCACCCTTCCTCAAGGTCAATTTCATTGCTTCTTATTGGTTTGTGATGTATTGGTACATTATGTATTGTTACAGGATCTACCACCCTTCATCATAGTCAATTGCACCAAGTAAAAAGTCATTCGTAACTCGGAAATTGCTTCCCAACTTCCTTTGATAATCTTTTATAATCTTATATAATCTTATATAATCTTATATAATCTTATAATCTTATATAACTTATTCGCGTACCTTAATCTTATCCTTTTAACTGATGAGTTGCAAGTACTTATAACATCTACGCCTTTAGAGACGCAACGGTGCGAAATGAATTCCCCACTGGGTATCATCCCCTCCAGGAGGGCTGGACCTGGCTCTTCGACAACTGTGGAGGTCACGGCGATACCTATGGCCACTACCACTACCATGCACCACCTCTTTGCCTGTTGAAATCCCTGGGCGTTCCGGTGCCAAAGAACAGCTCCTGGTGGAAGTTTGAAGGAGAAAAAGCATGGCCAAAGAGCGGACCTGAGGTCCAGGTGGGTTGGGTGCCTTGGCGAAGGTGAATGAGTTCAGCGCGGCTGTTTTTTGAGACGCCCAAAATCTGGAGGTTCTCAAAATGTGTAGCATTCCCTTTTTTTTGTGTGATTGGTGGGTTCGAAGATGATTGATGTTCCATGCTTCACATGATTGGAGACAATTAGATCATACTAGATCAAAATAGATCAAAATAGATCATAGGATACCGCAAAACCACCAGGTCATGGAATTGGGGTGGCCCCCGGCCCCCGGATCAGGCTAAGCAGGGGTGTGGCATCCTTCGTTGGTATGGCAGGTTGTCCTGGGCTCCTGGTTGAATGATGTTAAATCCATATCAATCATTATAAATTCAATACTGCACATGTACTTAAAGTTAAAGTCTAGTCCAATTTTTTCTCGTTACCTCTGTGAACACAAAAAACTGGCCCACTTACCATCACTGGTGCCCAGGCGCTGGATGGAGCACCCATTATGGGTCCTTTCAAGGGAGGCGTCCGCGCTGAAAAGAAGCTCCTGGATGAATGCCATGGAGCCATTGATGAGACCACCGGAGAATACCGAGCCTCCGGCGTTGCACGTGTTCTTTTTTGTTGTTCAGAGAGTCTATGGTGCTGAAATATGCGTTACTGAGGTACTGTATGTTTTTTAATGATGTCATATGATTTGCGGTGTTTGGCAAGTTCGAAGAGAACTATTTGTCTTTTTGTCAAGGAGGTGTTTCGACAGAAAAACATGGTCGGTCTATGTGAAGATGCGATTAATCTATGTCGATCCTATCTATGTGTCTACAAGCTTTCATAGTCCAATTTTGCCAGATTCCCAGAATCAGAAGGGAAAATTCAGAGAACTTCCCCTTTTGGTGCTAAAAACCAACCAGTGTCCTCTTTTAAAAAAACACCCATTCCAACTGAGGATACTACTTGGTTCCTGAGGCCCCCTACGTGCCTCCATGCCTCAGAGGCGCCCTTGGAAAGGTGGAAAACTTCCGCAGCTCGAAGGAGGGGCAGCCCTGCAGCCTCTCTGGCGCCCAGCAGGTCGAGATTTCCACCGTGGAGGATGGCAAGGTGGGGATGGAAATCCGGATTTGAAGCCAACCAAAATGGTGGTATAACTTAGGATAATGGGGTTGAACGGGATAAATTGTTTTTCCTATATTATATGTCTATATATTATATTTCTGTATATTAGATTATATTACATTATATTATATTATGTTACACTATAATATATTAGATTAGATGATATTATATTACAGTGTGTTTATTGTTTGCGTATTTTGTTATATTTTATTATATCGTATATATTTATATGTATATGATGGTATATTATATACGTATATATGTGATATTATATATATACACTATATTTTATATTCTATCATTTATAGTTTTATTATTTACTTTTTTATTAGATTTGTATTATATTATAATTTACTATATATTCTTATATTTTATTGTATTATATCATATTGTATTGTTTTATATATATATATTTATATATTATGTTATATTATATTATATTATGTTATAATATATTCTATTATATCACATCATATTACATTATATCGTGTATATGCTATAATATATATATATATATATACAAATTGGTATTTGCAATATATCATATATTATATCAAATTGTGTTATATTATATTATAGTTTATTATTACTACATCACACATCTATATAACGAGAACAAGATTGGAACATGTATGATAAACCTAATAGGAGTGGTTGTTTAAGCCCTCAAAAATTGCATATGATGGGGATATTTAACCAACAAAGCATGGGGAGAATTAATGGACAATGAATGTGGCGAACCCACTGCCAGAAACCATGTTACATCATCCCAAATAGAGGTATACCATGGTATACCCAACAATGAAACCCAACTAGGGATCGTGCTGCTTATGTCTTTACCACATCCGTCGCATTGCTTGACTACATTTGATCCCATAACTTGCAAATATTCTGCCAAAATGGTGACGATATATAGATGTATATTACCTAATTGTATAGACTAATAGATATATCCTGACGCTCCTGTCACCCGGGCATACGCTGAGTAGCCTGACATGTAGTCTGGCGGCCTTGCAAATATTCAAATATGCCGACATTTGCTCCAACAAACTTCATGTAAAAAACTGGCTTTGATCCCAACACGAAGCCTAACATATGTTCTAATGGTATTATAATGTATTATATGTTATGACATTTGTTTTGACATCTATTTTCACACATTAATGTACATGACATCACCACATCTCTTCTAAGTGATACACGTGGGGCACCAGAGGGCCGGTGGGCGGTCGTGATGGGACGAGTGTGCGAGGCTATGAGAGGAGGGAGGATGGGGAAAGCGTGATGAAGAATAACTGGTTGGTGGTGACTGGAACATTTTTTATGTGTCCATAATATATGGGAATAATCATCCCAACTGACTAATATTTTTGGAACATTATTTTAATGACGTTCCATGAAAAGTTGGGAATGTCATCATCCCAACTGACGAAGTCCATCATTTTTCAGAGGGGTAGGTATACCACCAACCAGATAATGAATAAAAGTCATCGGCACAGCATCCAACATTTGTAGGCTCTGCGATCTTGAGAATTTGACCCATCCTCAGGTGATCACGGGAAACGGATGCCCCGAGCACGAGATGTTCAAGAAAGTGCAGCGAGGTTTGCCGTTTGACTTCAAGGGAAAGACCGTGCGAAAGCTCTCCAACTATGGCACATGCCCTGCTGGTGCGGGCTGCGGCTGCGGAAGCACGGCTTGTGGCTGCGGAACCACTTGCGGTTGTGGCTGTGGAACTACCACCACTGCCGCATGCGGCTGTGGCTGTGGCTGCGGAACAACAACCGCCGCGTGCGGCTGTGGCTGTGGCTGCGGGACAACAACCGCCGCGTGCGGCTGTGGCTGTGGCTGCGGGACAACAACCGCCGCGTGCGGCTGTGGCTGTGGCTGCGGGACAACAACCGCCGCGTGCGGCTGTGGCTGTGGCTGCGGGACAACAACCGCCGCGTGCGGCTGTGGCTGCGGAACAACAACCGCCGCGTGCGGCTGTGGCTGTGGCTGCGGGACAACAACCGCCGCGTGCGGCTGTGGCTGTGGCTGCGGGACAACAACCGCCGCCTGCGGATGTGGAACCACTTGCGGCTGTGGAACCACATGCGGCTGTGGTGCTACCTACCAGTGCCAGGGACAAATGTTTTGCGCCAAGGGTCTGACGAAGCAAGGTCCGGTGCTCACTGTCCCAGTGAGTCTCTCGCAATGCAATGGTTTCCCAGGGAGCATTACCATTGACGAGAAGCAGGAGTGTCGGGATATTTTGGGTCCGGGCATGAGACATCTATGGAATATTGCCGAAATTATAGATTAATGTCTGTGTATAATCGAAGGAAGTTTAGAAGTCACACTTCCGACAATATGGACAGATGAAAAGCAGAGTAGGGCAGAGGCAGAGAGAAGAGAAAGATTAGAAGAGAGAAGAGTAGAAGGGAAAGAGTCAGAAGAAAGAAGATGCAGATGCGCGAAAAGGTAGGAAAGTCGCGATTCACTGCGTTTTTCCAATGATTTGTGGCTCCGGAGGGTCGAAAAGTAGGCTCGCTAAAGCGGCGGGTGCGGAGCCAGCTGGCCAGATGAGAGATGAAAAATTGCACGCCGTTGTAGCGCGAAGCACATTTCGAAGTCAAAATATACAAAACACACCAGCGCCGGACCACTTTTGGAAGTTGAGATGTCGAAAAAGTGCACGCCGTTGTGGCGCGAAGCACATTTCGAAGTCAAAATGTATAAAACACCTCAATGTCGGACCACTTTTGGAAGTTGCGATGTCGAAAAAGTGCACGCCGTTGTGGCGCGAAGCACATTTCGAAGTCAAAATGTTAAAAAACTAGGGGTTCGGACCACTTTTGGAGGTTCAGATGTCGCTTCGCTTCGCTTCAACGCACTACACCACATTACACTACACTCCACTACACTACGCTCCACTACACCACACTACATTACACAACACTACAACTGCAGCTACACAACTACACTCCACTATACTCCACTACACTCCACTACACTAAATTACACTACACTACAAAGGAAGTTTAGAAGTCAAACTTCCGACAATATGGACAGATGAAAAGCAGAGCAGATAGATAGATAGGATAGATAGGATAGATAGGATAGATAGGATAGATAGGATAGATAGGATAGATAGGATAGATAGGATAGATAGGATAGATAGGATACATAGGATAGATAGGATAGATAGGATAGATAGGATAGATAGGATAGACAGGATAGATAGGATAGATAGGATAGATAGGATAGATAGGATAGATAGGATAGATAGGATAGATAGGATAGATAGGATAGATAGGGTAGATAGGATAGATAGGATAGCTAGGATAGATAGGATAGATAGGATAGATAGGATAGATAGGATAGATAGGATAGATAGGATAGATAGGATAGATAGGGTAGATAGGATAGATTAGGATAGATAAGGTAGAGAGGATAGATAAGTAAGATAGATAGATAGATAGATAGGATAGATAAGATAGATAGGATAGATAGGATAGATAGGATAGATAGGATAGATAGGATAGATAGGATAGATAGGATAGATAGGATAGATAGGATAGATAGGATAGGTAGGTTAGATAGGATAGATAGGATAGATAGGATAGATAGGATAGATAGGATAGATAGGATAGATAGGATAGATAGGATAGATAGGATAGATAGGATAGATAGGATAGGTAGGATAGATAGGATAGATAGGATAGATAGGATAGATAGGATAGATAGGATAGATAGGATAGATAGGATAGATAGGATGGATAGGATAGATAGGAAAGATAGGATAGATAGGATAGATAGGATAGATAGGATAGATAGGATAGATAGGATAGATAGGATAGATAGGATAGATAGGATAGATAGGATAGATAGGATAGATAGGATAGATAGGATAGATAGGATAGATAGGATAGATAGGGTAGATAGGATAGATAGGATAGATAGGATAGATAGGATAGATAGGGTAGATAGGATAGATAGGATAGATAGGATAGATAGGATAGATAGGATAGATAGGATAGATAGGATAGATAGGATAGATAGATAGATAGATAGATAGGTAGATAGGTAGATAGGTAGATAGGTAGATAGATAGATAGATAAGATAGATAAGATAGATAAGATAGATAAGATAGATAAGATATACCCGCCGGGTGCGGAATCGCGCGTGTAGGCGCATCAACATGCTGAAAAAAATGACAACCCTTTCAGTGTTTCGTGGCCTTCTGATCAGGAAAAAAATGTTTCCAAAAAATGTCATTTTTCTTGGATTTTGCAACCCTTACAGCACAAATTTCGGACCTTTTTTGCCTTGCCACTTTCATTGATCATTGTGCATGTAGACCTCACTGACTAGTGATTTGATGAGTTATTATCCTCACGATATGAAAGATCGCTATCATACCAAGCATATCCAATAATGACCAACATATGAAATTAGAGGGTGATTTTTATCACCATTGGGATGAACTTTATCGTTACCGTGGTGAAAGACACTATCAACAGAAGTATGACAACCATTATAAATTATTATGATGCACTCCTCAAAACAGGTAACGAGAACACACGATATACGTTCCACCCCACCCCATCCCCACCCCATGATCAGCGTAGCAGCAGTGGCGTGTTCAACTTCAACCGAACGTTCACATCTCCACCCCACCACATGCTCAGCGTAGCATGCGTGGCGTGTTCAAATGCTAACGAACGTGAACATCCCCACCCCACCCCATGATCAGCGTAGCAGCAGTGGCGTGTTCAACTTCAACCGAACGTTCACATCTCCACCCGACCACATGCTCAGCGTAGCATGCGTGGCGTGTTCAAATGCTAACGAACGTGAACATCCCCACCCCACCCCACCCCATCCCCACCCCATGATCAGCGTAGCAGCAGTGGCGTGTTCAACTTCAACCGAACGTTCACATCTCCACCCCACCACATGCTCAGCGTAGCATGCGTGGCGTGTTCAAATGCTAACGAACGTTAACATCCCCACCCCATCCCCACCCCATGATCAGCGTAGCAGCAGTGGCGTGTTCAACTTCAACCGAACGTTCACATCTCCACCCCACCACATGCTCAGCGTAGCATGCGTGGCGTGTTCAAATGCTAACGAACGTTAACATCCCCACCCCACCCCACCCCATCCCCACCCCATGATCAGCGTAGCAGCAGTGGCGTGTTCAACTTCAACCGAACGTTCACATCTCCACCCCACCACATGCTCAGCGTCGCATGCGTGGCGTGTTCAAATGCTAACGAACGTTAACATCCCCACCCCACCCCACCCATCCCACCACCATGATCAGCGTAGCAGCAGTGGCGTGTTCAACTTCAACCGAACGTTCACATCTCCACCCCACCACATGCTCAGCGTAGCATGCGTGGCGTGTTCAAATGCTAACGAACGTGAACATCCCCACCCCACCCCACCCCCCCCATGAATGCGTAGCAGCAGCGGCGTGTTCAACTTCAACCGAACGTTCACATCTCCACCCCACCCCATGCTCAGCGTAGCATGCGTGGCGTGTTCAAATGCTAACGAACGTGAACATCCCCACCCCACCCCACCCCATCCCCACCCCATGATCAGCGTAGCAGCAGTGGCGTGTTCAACTTCAACCGAACGTACACATCTCCACCTCACCACATGCTCAGCGTAGCATGCGTGGCGTCTTCAACTGCTAACGAACGTTAACATCCCCACCCCACCCCACCCCACCCCATGTTGAAAATGCGTGTAACTACACGTACGGTTTGGCACCCGTTAGCATAGATAAGATAGATAAGATAGATAAGATAGGATAGATAGGATAGATAGGATAGATAGGATAGATAGGATAGATAGGATAGATAGGATAGATAGGATAGATAGGATAGATAGGATAGATAGGATAGATAGGATAGATAGGATAGATAGGATAGGTAGGATAGGTAGGATAGGTAGGATAGGTAGGATAGGTAGGATAGGTAGGATAGGTAGGATATAGGATATAGGATATAGGATATAGGATAGATAGGATAGATAGGATAGATAGGATAGATAGATATAGGATAGATAGGATAGATAGGATAGATAGGATAGATAGGATAGATAGGATAGATAGGATAGATAGGATAGATAGGATAGATAGGATAGATAGGATAGATAGGATAGCTAGGATAGATAGGATAGATAGGATAGATAGGATAGATAGGATAGATAGGATAGATAGGATAGATAGGATAGATAGGATAGATAGGATAGATAGATAGATAGATAGATAGATACATAGATACATAGATAGACAAATAGCTAGAAAACTAGACAGCTAGATAGGTAGGTAGATAGATAGATAGATAGCTAGAAAACTAGACAGCTAGATAGGTAGGTAGATAGATAGATAGATAGGGAGATAGATAGACAGACAGACAGATAGATAGATAGACAGATAGATCAGTAGGTAGGTAGGTAGGTAGTTAATCAGAGAAAGATAGAGAAACAGGGAGAAAAAGAGAGAAAGAGAGAGAGAGAGAGAGATCAAGCACCTTTCAGTCCATCAGTGGCTTCGCTCTGCCATCCCTGATTCACAACAACCAACCTCTCCTACAGGTTTCCTATTTTTGAAACTTCCGCCAGCGCCTTGTGCGGTACTACTGGTTATTTACGTGTGTGTGTGTGTGCGCATTCATTTAATGGTATTTATACTTATTATTCCGTACAGGTATACGATTCATATTTAAATCTATAATAGTATGTATGTAGAATATGTATATATATATATATATATGTCAATATGTGTGTATATTGGTCAGATTTTGCGTTTGTGATGCAAAAAATTCTTACAGGGGGCCTACCGCGCCACCCGTTTCAGCAAGGGACCATTTTGGTAGAAAAAATCTGATTTTTTTCGGACATGTCCATTTTTAATGACATAATTGAAGTCCATGCCTTGTTGGAGATGGAATGAACTTGCAGGGAGAGAGGGCCGGTGGACGTAGTCGAACTAAAACCCATTTTTTGAGAAGTCAAAAAGGTTTCAAAAGCAATACACTGCCGAGCAAATACTGCTTGATTTGTTTGGCCTAAAACTGTTTTAAGCCTTCCATAAAGAAATCATTCACCACAAGCGTGCAAAGGGCATGAAGCGCGGTCTGCACCAAGACCTACACGACCTGAGTTTGTTACATGTCTGGGCAAATTAGTTCGTGACCTCACTGACCTCACTGGAATCGTGGTTAGTAAATGTTAGTAAGGGAAATCATCCACAAATGGCTTTAATATGGCCTTAATTCAGGTTATTGAAATATTGTAATTTACCCAGATGAGATGAACTATATAAGATGAACTAAGATGAAAATAAAGAGAAAAATGAGAAAACAACACGTGAACAGTTTTGTTGTTGTCGGATGGCGAAAAGTCACTTTTTGTCACTGTTGGTCTTCAAAAGTTTACCAGGCTCCGGTAAATCGTGTCCATTTGCTGGTTTTGAGGTCAGTTTTCCTCACTCACAGATGGGGATCCAATCATGTAGTAAACCCAGTCATAAGACTTCTTGGCTGAGGCGTATGAAGGTAAATCAAGCAAAACGGTAAAAGCGTTTTGGTTTTAATGTCAACCCCAGATTGATATGTCATGCTACAAAAAAAACAGGAGGGCGTTCCAATTTTTTTTCCCATCTCGGTTGGTTCGCAGGACCTGACCAGTTACAGTCTGACCTTCGAGGGTGGCAGAATGAAGGCTTCCGCCAAGCGCGCACTCAACACTGGCGATTCAACAGATTACGTCTTGTCCGCGGACTGGGGGGGATGAGCCACCTGGGTGGTTTTCTTTGCTGGATGATAGTCGACATGAATCATGTGAGGGCGGGACAAATTGTGCCTCAATATTCCTCTGAGAACTTTGATTGCGCTGTGTTTTGATGTGCATTAAATTACATTAATATGGTTGATATCTCTATATATCCCCATGATTACTGGTTAATATCACAGTTGTTTATGGTCAATAGCTCCATGATTCCTAAAAATGCTTCAATGAATTCCATGGTCCCCCAGTTGTTTGGGGTGCATTATACAGCATCAGGACACGCCCTACTACATCCTGATGACAGTTGGCTCAGCAGTTGGTAACCGCCCTGCATACCAGGCCGCGACCCTTTAGCGATGGGGTTCTTGACCTGACGTGTGCCATGATCAAAATCTGAATTATACATACGTACATATAATATATATATAATATATATATAATATATATAATATATAATATATATATAATATAATATATATATATAATATAATATATATATAATATAATATAATATTATATATATATATATCTTAATATATATTTATATGTATTCAAAATCCTAATGGAGGATGGTAATAATCCGTTCATGGGGCTTAATATACTCATGAATTGGGGGAATCCTAATGATTGTGGGATGACTACAACCCATATACCATGTTTTGACATGTTTTGACTATGGCACACATGTTCTCGATGTTTCATGCATGGGTCCTGAAAACATCTCAGGGTTGTTCAGTCAGCTGGGCCATGCCGATTGAGTTGGGCTGTGGCGCTGTGCTCACCAACAAAATTCTACAAGTACCCTCCGGTAATCAAACAAAGCAATGGAATATACCCTCTGGTAATTTAACATAGCTATTGAAACTCACCATATTTAATAGGTATATCGACCATGAATGGCAATGTTCAATAGCTATGTTAGTTTACCAGAGGGTACCCCATGTAATTCGAGGATTTTCCCACTCAAAGCTCCATGGCTAGTTGGGGATTCCCAGGAAATTGCAACGTTTTATCATATCAGCAGGTGGTATTTCCCGGTATTTCGTTGTATTTCCATGTATTTCCATATTTCCCCATGGTATCATGATAGTTCCCAATATACCATGATACTTCCCATGATATTCCCATGATATTCCCATGATCGTTCCCATCGTTCATGATATTTCCCATGAAAACTTCCCATCCAGGTGGGATACCACGGCAGCTCAGCTACTCAGACGTTGGTCTGCATGAGCACTCTCACGATGAAAGGTGCCAGTTCGCCGGGGGAGTTGAAAAAAACCTCGTTGGTTGATGATCAAAAGGTCGGTTTTCAAATTCATGATATTCATGGCATTCGAATCGTCAAACATAGGGAGATTTTTGAGTCATATCTCCACTGCACCTTGGTCGATGATGATTTGATGAAGCCGTGGGTCACAACTGCATCCTTAGTACCATTAGGAATGATCATCGTCCAATCGGGGAATCGGCAGATGCCAAGGGGGATCTCAGCTTAGCAGTCAGGCCGTCAAAGGATGATGGTGCAGGGTGAATGTTCACTCTCAGTGGCCCAAAAAAGCACATGCCCACGGAGCGTATTAACCTAGGACGTGATATGAGACATGTGTATATATATAATTATATATATATATATATATCTATACATACATATAATATATAGTATAATTATGTATTTGAGTGTGCTGTTTAAAAAAGAACAAGTACTCACTTTACCCAAAGTTCTAACATCCGTGTCTCTTGACTCGGTGTCCTTTTTTTTTGAAGTTGAAGAATTGATTTTCTTCCCATGGCGCAAGTGTCAGGTGCGTGCAAGCCGCCCAGTGAATGGTCTGGAGCTCCAAGTCTTGCGGTCATCGAAGCCGACGCCAACGACTCAAAGATGCCAGTGCTGAGTGGTGCCATCACAATGGCCCTGCTGTGGCTAGTGCACTGAGCCTAGGGGGGCTGGATGGATGCTGCGAAAATGTCAGTGATCATTAGTGTCATGAATGATGGGTGATCATGTCTAGTATAGTTATGATATGTTATGATTAAGGATTAATGATTATATAATATTATAAATATATACGACCACTAGGCTTAAGTTGTATCAATCGACCTGAAGTCGTATCACACCTGCGTGCGCGCAGTGTTTCGTATAGATTTTGATAGTTCTTTATTTGATAGGTTATTGATTTGAACACTTTTTCATCGCTGTGCGCAATGTTTTGTTGACATGATTCTATTTGACCCTACTAGCCCTAGCGTTAAGTCGTATCAGCTCGTAGAAGTTGTATCGGGAGACCGTGCGCCTGGAAAAAGTTCAAGTTTGGCATCACCACAACTTTTAGTAATTGGACGATTTCATTGTTTTGGGGCCGTGCTGTTGCTGCTGCCTCCTGCTGCCTCCTGCTGCTGTTGCTGCTGCCTCCTGCTGCTGCTGCGGCTGCGGCTTCCTTCTGCTGCTGCTGCTGCCTCCTGCTGCTGCCTCCTGCTGCTGCCTCCTGCTGCTGCCTCCTGCTGCTGCCTCCTGCTGCTGCCTCCTGCTGCTTGCTGCTTCCGCCTGCTGCTGCTGCTGCTGCCTCCTGCTGCTGCTGCTGCTGCCTCCTGCTGCTGCTGCTGCTTCCTCCTCCTCCTGCTGCTGCTTCCTCCTCCTCCTCCTGCTGCTGCTGCTGCTTCCTCCTGCTGCTGCTGCCGCTGGTGCAAACATTTTGCCGAAAAAGAAAATTACAGTCTCGGTCGCCTTGTTTGGCGCTGGCGGGAGATACGGGCGGGAGACGCCAGCAGAGAGAGGGAATGTTTACAGAAGGCAGAACTTATGAAACATTCAAGCGGAAGCGGATGTTGACAGCGGTGTGCCACTGGGTTTTCAGATTTTAACGTTGTTGATATGATGATGTTGCCCATAGCTATTACATGGAGATCTATGTTTGTTAGGAAGCAAAGTTAAAGATCTGGGAGGCCGTGTGCCATGGTGATTCCTAAATATATCCTTTGAAAACATAGTTTAAACATATGTGAATACCTCAGTGTGCGCAATGTTTTCTTCATTTTTGGAGATACAACAACATTCCTTGAAAGCCAGTGTGCCATTGGGATTTTGATATTTTGATGTGACTTTTGCCCAGTTGATGTGACTTTCTTCCAACTCGCTGTTACATGGGGTTGATGTGACTTCTGCCCAACTGATGTGACTTAAACCCTTCGCTAGTATATATATTATATATCGTCAACGGACGAGTGGACATCAGTGACATCATCTCCGTGGGCAAAGTCTGATGCCATGAATCCAGTGGTATCCATTGGGGATCCATTACAGATGAAGTGGGATTCATCAGCATCCAGGCCATCCATTCACTGGTTAAGGTGGTGACTGGAACATGACTTGGAACATGACTTTCCATATATTGGGAATGATAATACCAACTGACGAACTCCATCATTTTTCAGAGGGGTAGGTCAACCACCAACCAGTCATGTTGTAAAATCCGCACGGCCGGTCTGGCCGACGAATTCGGACACCACGATGGCGACGGTCTGGCGACCTGAGAAGCGAGAACGGTTTTTTTCGACAGACGAGTCTGTCCCATTGGGATGGTGTCATCGTTGGTGACTACCAGCTACTATATAGACTACAATAATAGCAATAATACAATGATAACAGGAATAACAATAATAACAATAGAAATAGTAATGATAGTGGTAATAGTAATACTTACAGTAATAAGAATTAATCATAATGACAATAATGATAAATAGAGTAAATTTACAGAATACACACGGTGTATATATATATATACATACACTAGTTTGTTTGTAAAAAGTAATAATGCTGATTAAGAAAATGTACAGTGTGTGTATATATATATATACACATAACATAACATACACCTTGTTCGTATATTGAGTCTACTACTAGGGGCTCGTCACAATAGGGGCTCGTCAACTTGTGCAAAACAGGGGCCGAAACCAAAAGCTCAGGATCAGACGGGGAAACATGATGATCAGCGACTGGATTTGGGGTTCTGTTTTCGGACACCAATGTGCAAATGTGTGGTAGAATTTGTTGAGACAAACATTACAAACTAACTCAGCTTTCCAGGTAGCACAGTCGCAATCTGATGCTCTCAGTGATCGTTTTGAATCTCGGCTGAGCCTTTAATCTCGCTGAAGAGGTCACAGATATCAGAGTGGCTTCAGGTTCTTCCAGGAGAGTTTCGTCGTTTGTTCGGAGGTCTTGTGTTTGGCAGCCAGCTCCATGGATTGCTCGATTCTTTGTCAGTTTTCACCTACCTCAACCTTTCTGGGGCCACACTGGTTTGCTCAGACGTCGAAGGAAATTGTCGGATTGTACAAATCCTTCCTGTTCACCCTTGCAGTGTAGTAAGGGTTGACGTCCAGTGCAGATTGTGGACCTGCTCGGTGCCCCTTACCGAAGTTCCTCAAGATCTGGGCTGTTCCAGTTCGCAGGGAAATTGTCGGATCGAACAATTCCGCTGTGGACATTCTCTGGCAAAGGACCAAGGAGACCGGTGGCCGAATTTTGACTCCGACTGCAAAGTGCTTCCGGCGGAGTTCAGAGAAGCGAGCCCAGCCTTTATCGTGAAGAGATAGGGCACTGGTTTGCATAAAAGGCTGCTTTTTGGTGGGCCGGATGTGTCTGAAAATGGGGGATACCCCAAAATTATAATTGCCAGGTCATGAAGGAAAATGATGATAAACATTGATTTCTTCTATGATCAATCATGATAAACCCTGATAAACAAACATAACAAACCATGATAAACCCTGGTAAACCATGAAATTGTTTTGGAGTGGAACAGAGGGTGGGCTGTCAAATTCTGTCAACCCTGTGGCACGAGGCCCATGAAAGCGCCTGGCAGCGTGTGGCGGACAGGACCATGAAAACACCTGGATTTCCGTGGCGTAGTGTTTTGAAGCCGTTTCTTGCTGGACTTTGCACCCAAAGGTTACCCTCTGGTAATTTAACATAGCTATTGAAAATCACCATTTTTAATGGGAAAATCCACTATTAATGGTCATTTTCAATAGCTATTTTGACATAACCAGAGGGTATCAGACACTGAGAATTTTGTCGGTGAAAAATGCGAAGAAACTCCCAAAGGATCGTTTTTTAACACCGCAGTGCAGGATCGTTGGGCAGCTGAAGCCTGATCAAAAGCCCTATTGGATGAGTCCTCCTGCCCTAAAGTGCTCCAGGGGCCTTTTTGTTTGCCGTGGCATGCCGTGGCATTTGGAGATAGTGCGGTGGGAATGGATGTTCATCACTATGGGTCACTATGAATCACTATTAGGGTCACTATGGGTCACTATGGGTCGCTTGATGTAGTATAACACATATCATTATATACCATTATATACCATTAATTATATACCATAATGATACTATGGGTCCATTAATTATGTCCCTGCGAAAAGCTCGCCATCGAATACGGCGCCATCCATCTGCCCATCATAAAGGTACGCCATCCAGGAGATCCAACGTGGGAGAAGTCAATACAGGAGCCTTTGGAAAAAAATTGGTGCGGTGGGATATCATTACCCTCTGGTAATTTAACGTAGCTATGGAAAATCACCATTTTTGATGGGAAAACTCACTATTTCTATGGCCATGTTCAATAGCTATGTTAGTTTACCAGAGGGTAACTATGATAATACATGGGGTATCTATGGGATATAATGAACCATCATAGGGGGTATCTATATCACAAATGATATATATCTATATCTATATATATATATATCTATGGGATTCTATGGGATATAATTAGAATATCATTTGGATTTGGGATATAATGAACCAATAATGAACCATTAGCTTTTGTTTGCTGAAGGTGAGTGCTGATTTTCCCAATGGGAAGCTCACCATTTGGGAATCTATACGTACTGGTACGTTATTTTTGGACCATCTTAAGCAAATCCAAGTTAATGAACGATAGATGGAGATGGAATTCACTAAAAAAACAAAACATATGGAAGATAGTGGGGATACAACGTGATACAACCAACTATAACAATATGATTTGGGTTTGTCTGAAGATGGGGTATACCCTCAGTTTATTAATTGTTTTTTGTTGGTAGTTGTTCATGGAAAATGATGATAAACCACTGGGGTTGCCATATCCTCATTCAGGATGCAATTGCTGTTCCATGCGCGGCGGTCGTGTCCTTTTTTGGGCTTCTTCCACTCATTTGACCTGGTTTGTAATCCAAGCTGGCCGCCTTCTTGTAAAATTAGAGAGGTAAACTAAGTCAAATGGATGATGTTAAGCGCTGATATTCTTGTTGGTGAAACAGCTATGTTGATGCAACAAGTTGGTTTGGTATGGTTTGGTTGCATATTATCGACATTTTTTTTTGTTGCTTGCTATGCCTAGAGTTATTGGTGATATATCCTTAGTATATCCTTAGTTGATCTTGGTTGCTTCGTATTGGTTACCCTCTGGTTATTTAACATAGCTATGGAAAATGGCCCATAGAAATAGATGGTTTACCTATTAAAAATTGTGATTTTCCATGGCAAACTCTTAAATAACCAGATGGTAATTCTCATTGACTATCCCATTGGTTGCTTTTTCTCCCATGGGACGTGCTGAGCATTCGGGTTTCCCTGCCGTGACAAGGGTGCAACAAAGTGGCCACCACTGGGAAGAAGGCTAGGTTGGAGCATGGATACAACAAATACATATATACATATATATACATATATATATATGGCACAGGCCTGCAGCCCCACCCCCCCGTCATGGTCATGGTCATGGTATATATATATACATATATATATATATATACATATATATGTACATACATAGATCGTGTTGATTAGATATAAGTATATAAGATACATTAAGACATCATATATTAGATAAGATTGATGTGATTTGATATTATATGATATCTTATACATACCTGCATACTGGAATATTTTGGCCG